AACCTATCAGGTTGAGACAATAAGGACCAATCAGAGTCTTTCCCGCTTATATACATTTGAATCCGATTGGACGCAGTAGTCTTGAACTTCAATCCCTGTTCAAGACGAAGCTTAACATTGCTTCCCTATGAGATGATTCACAATCATCTTAATGCATTCTAGGCAGCATAGAATACATTACACCACTACTCTGAATTTTCCTTACAGAAGCATCACTGTTAAATGCAAATTTGACATTTTTACTATTGACTACTTTAATCCCCAGCTCACTCAGACTGAAGAAGCTAGCAAGGGTCTGCAATAGAAGTTTCTAGGGATGAGAAATGGAGACAGGAGACTGTGTAGACTCTGAATTTTCCTTACAGAAGCATCACTGTTAAATGCAAATTTGACATTTTTACTATTGACTACTTTAATCCCCAGCTCACTCAGACTGAAGAAGCTAGCAAGGGTCTGCAATAGAAGTTTCTAGGGATGAGAAATGGAGACAGGAGACTTTGCGTAGAATGGGAGACAGTTTTCAACCATCACACATTTTAATTTGTGAATAAAGTCCTTGATTTAAGCACCTGCAGCAGGAGGGAAACAGAAGCTCAGCATAGATCTTAAACAGCTGGCAGGCATATTCGGATAACATTCAGCAATTATTTATTCAGCAATTATTTATGCTACAGTAAATTTGTCAGGCGTTAGGTACTATAAAACTCATTTTTGTTTATAAGAATGGAAAGTAATTGTAACACTGATTCTGCCATGGCATTTTAATTATATTAAAATAATTAATAGGTGCTATGAACTTAAAGTTAAAAGAAACGTAAAGGAAAATATTATCCTATTTATTTTTATTTATTTATTTATTTTTATTTCTAGCCCTCCCTCCCTGGCACAGGAGGGCTCAGGGTAGGCTTGCCAAGTCCCCCCGGTGGCGGATGAGGCTCCGGGGGGAACCCCACCCCCAAAGCCCGTGATGTGCCCAGCGTCAGCACGTCACCCAGACGCTGGGTGTGCTGGGGGCGGGGCCATGGTCATCCGAGGAAAAACTCTATGTTTTCCCGGAATGGGGCTGGAGTCCCCCGCTGTACATACAGCGGGGACTTGGCAACCCTAGCTCAGGGCAGGTTACATGAATGCATATAAAACAGAAATCACAATAAAACAATTAACCATGCATAACAATCAATTAGCCTATATAAAATCAGTTCACCCTAAATCATTAGATGGCAATCTGTAGCTCAAGTAACAACTACTTCCAGCACTCTATGTCTGTGTGCCCATAGATGATAAAATACTAAAGCAAGTGGGTGTGCAAGAAGAAAACAGAAAGAGGTAGGACAGGGGTGGTAGACCAGGGGAGACCAATACAGATGGAATTCCGTTGCCTCAGTCATAGGCCTGGTGGAACATCTCTGTTTTGCAGGCCCAGTGGAACTGTATTGTCCTGCAGGGCCCGGATATCATTTGGGAGACTGTTCCACCAGGCTGGCACCAGACCTGAAAAACCTCTGGCTCTGATTGAGGCTAAGCAGATATCTTTTGTGCTAGGGGTCACCAAAAATGTTGGTCCATAGAGCATAAAGCTCTTTGAGGGACATACTGAGAGAGATGGTCCTGCAGATACGTTGATCCCAGACCGCATAGGTACTAAGTATCTGTAGGCTATTTTCCTTGAATCCATGTTGTGTTGTTTAGGAACTAATGAAAAGCAGGTCCCTAAACTGTACCTTGCTTGGGATAACAAAAGTGGCCGTGTTTAATAAGAATTCTCATTACTAGCATCACTGATAAGTAGGCAGCAAAAACCTTCTATATTGGTCAAAGAATCCGGCCTTTGGCCTTTGTTTGGTCAAACAATCAACCCTCTGTTGTTCCTCAACAGAATGGAATAATATTTAGAAAAAGAAATCTGCTGTAGATCTAATAATAAAATAATAATGCCATTTTGTAAGGGTATGACATAGTTATATATGAATACTGTGTGCAACTCCAGTCATACCATATCTATATATCTGTTGGCAGAAATATTAAAAAACAGCAATAACAGGAAAATATAGACAAGGTTCTTCAAATGTAGACAGTTTCTTTATTCCTTTATGTGACATTCATTCCAAAAACTAATATAGGCATTCCCGCAAAATGTATTTGCTATTTTATTATTTCCAGACTTGCATGCAAGATGAATCATTACAGTAGTTCTGCATATATTATTCACTACTTTGCATTATTAGCATTACCCAAATAATATCTGATGGGATGCCCTGATTAGCATGTAAATTGGACCATTTCTCCTAGGTAGAGTGATGGGTTACTCCAGGATGCAAACAGTGAAAGGCTTATCAAGTAAATACAGAAGTTAAAATTAGTACAAAGATGACTTAAATATATCTATTACAAACATGGAATATTAATTATATAGTCAAGCATAATGTACATCATATTGCAAAATGAGAACTGGAAAGAATGAAATAATCAAGCAGAATAATGCTTAGAATAACTGTAGGTATCATTAGATACCTTTATGTTGTACAAGGCCAATTTGCATATTTATGTTCATTACTTCATGGGCTGGTTTGACCAAAATCCCAGCCCTGTATACTGGAGAACAAGAGATAGGAGAAGCATGCCTTACTTACCCATCTACGAAGTGCAATTTGCCATCAACACATCTGTGGGCTCTGTAGATGTAGTTCAAGCCTAGATTTAAAGTATGATTTCAACAGTGCCTATATTAGCTAATGTACACCAAATTGGATGATATGCAATATAAGGATCCTGCAGCTATTTGAACTGCACCTGGTACAATGAGTAGGTAGAGAGAAAAGACACACACCACCTCTTCTCCCACTCTCCATCAGGTACTTGCCTGACCTATCATCTGAACTAACGCTTTGTAGTTCATCCATATATGTGTAATGTTTGTTTTAAAATGCATTGTCCCTGAGCTGACTTCGTGTGATATGAAAGTTTTGGTGATTAATCTATGATGGCCGAAAAGAATCATTTGTTGCTACATTCAACAAATGACGAGTAAGCAAGTGTGAACCAATTTATAGAGAATTTAGGATGCATACTTCATCTTAAATATGCATACAACTTCATTGGATTCAAAATGGATTGTGATTAAAGAAGCCAAGCACATCCTTGCGTGCTGTGCTTTAGATAGAATAGTAGCAGATGTACACAGATGACTTATTTACACACAGAGAGCTTAAAATGTGGAATTCACTGCCAGGGGATGTAATTATGGCCACGGGAATAGACAACTTTAAAAGGGAGTAAGATAGATTTATAGAAAGTGATCAATGGCTACTAGCCATGGTAACCGAGGGAAACCTCCACATTCAGAGGCACTAAACCTCTGAATCCCAGAGCCAGGAGGCAACATCAGAGGAAGGTTTCAGCCTCCATGCACTGTTGTTGGCCCTCCAGAGGAACTGGTTGCCCACTGTGTGAGACAGGATGCTGGACTAGACGGACCATTGGTCTGATCCAGCAAGGCTGTTCTTATGAAGAGAAAATATTCTTTTTACAGACTACAAATCCTAGGAGGTTAGCAGATGCACACAAAATCCTCAGCTTTAGAGAAAAACCTAACATATTGATGTAATTAAATAATTTTTCAGGATGAGGAGATTCTGAATTCCAAATTGAGAAATAAGTAAACAAGCCCATTCTATATTCAGTGATTGCCATAAGGGCTACTATGGTTAGGGTTGGCAGTCCCCAGGTGGCGGCAGGTGATCCCTCAATTTTGGGGGCTCCTGCCAGCCACCAGCCAGGTGGCCAGTGAGGAGGAGCCCTGCCCCAAACCCCACCCCCAACAGTGGTCACCGCAGCCACCCTTCTCCCTCCTCTCCTGCCAAACGGCCCTTCAGCTGATCAGTGGGAACATGTGGCCCACCAATCAGCTGGAAGGCCCTTTACATCTTGCAGGAGGGGGGAGAGAGGGTCAGCCACTGGCCACATGCCTGCACTCCAAGTGAGAAATTCACTGCTTGGAATTCAGGCACATGGGCCCCCACTCTCCAAAAGAATAAAAAGGGTCCATTTAAATGCTTTTGGAGAGTGGAGGCCATGTGCACCTGAATCACCACTTGGGATTTCAGGCACATGCAGCCTCCACTCTCCAAAAATATTTAAAGGGGCCCTTTAAATTACCTTGGAGAGCGGGGACTGCACAGGCCTGAATCTCAAGTGGTGAGAGCAGGGGCAAGTGCCTGAATTCCAAACAATGAATTTGTTGCTTGGGATTCAGGCACATCCCCAGTGTAATGATGTCACTTCTGAGTCATCACATTGGGGACATCCCCTCCCCCTCCAGGAATGATTCCCAAAGTTCCCCACTGGGGAGGAAGCAGGACCTGGCAACGCTAACTATGGTCTAACAGACAGAGATCTGGACATGGAATTAAATCGATCTGAGCAATGGTTTGTTTTTGATGTGTTCAACCCCACTAATATTCTCTCATGTGGTAACTTTTAGCATTTCCATAAGTTGGCTATCTCACATATAAATGGTTTGCTGGGGTGGGTGGGTTTAAAGCATAGTAAGGTTTAGAGACCATAGATCCCTGAACACAGTGAGAAGACTGGCACCAGCTACAAGATGTGTTCTGTGTGAAAGAAAGGACAGCCTGAAATAAATACTGACCACCTTTGGCCTAGTGTACACACATAGCAAACATTCACGTCCAGCATCCCAAGAAACCATTTTGAGTACACAGCACTTTGTGGGATAGCATGGCCATAAATATTAGATTCTGACTTAACCCATTTAATTAAAAAGCAAAGTAAAATAAATGCCTTCAGTTAATCTGCCAACATGATCAGAGGAAATACAGCTCTGAAATAATAGAACAATGAGGTACATTTTCACTACAGAGGAGGATTGTAAAATGAGCAACATACTTTACTAATGCAAATAATCTTTTTGTAACAGCTGGAGGTATAACAAACCCTTAATATACCCATAATCCTAATGCATTCCTTTGCTGTCTTTGCAGGCAGACCAGTAATGATTGTGGTTGAATACATGGAGAATGGATCCCTTGACTCCTTTCTACGGGTGAGGTGTCATTTTCTCAGGATATTTGAATATGAAGCCATTCTGAGTAAAGATTCTAAATCCTTCATCATAAATTAATTTTTACATAATGTTATTCATGGATTTTTAGTTGAAGAGAAGCATTTCCCCAGGGTGCAGTTCTTAGGTGCAGTGATACATTAGAGCACAGCCAGGAAAAAAAAGATTTAAACTTAACAATGTAATTGATTTCTTCTACAAGATCAGTTCCTATATTTAGTAAAATGTATTTGAAATGGTGTTATTGTTACAAAAATGACAAATTGAAATGCAAATGGTTTGCTGCATGGAAACTGCTTATTTTACTTAGTCGTTTTTTTAAATGATTTTTGGTGAGGAAGGCCTTAGGGAAGTATGCTTAAATTGGGTAATTGATTTGTAATTATTTATGGTTACTTGCATTTAACAAATTGTGTGAAGTGGCTTGACAACAGCCTACATCCATTTAAGGTCAGGTGTTGAATCTCTGTGAATAAGAGCCAAAAGAACAGACTGAAGGGCAACAGTCTTGGATATTAATATCAGAACTGTAACCCCTTCGCAGCAAATAGCAAATACCTTGATCTTTTCTATATGGATAACTGCAACTGGTCTAACAGTGAAAGCTAGATTGGCATTATGTGGGAGGTGGGTATGACAAGGTTGTCCTGTTATATTTCCAGTGTTATTACAGTTCTCTTTATAACCAGAGGTGTTCAAAATCTGCCAGTTTCTCTTAAACTCATATTGCTAGGCAGGAAGCTGATTATTCAACAAGCTGTTCAGCTGTTCATGCGTGTTTGGCTTGAACAGAAAACTTGTTGCTGCCTTCCACCCTTGCAAGAACACAGAGATAAGAACAAAACCCTACTTTCAACTTCTGATTCCCCCTGCCAGCTTGGATCTGGGGTCATACGGAGAAGCTTTGGAAGTGTAAAACCCATCAAAGCTGATCTCCCCCATCAGTGAAGATTCTGGTTCCGTTCTCCCTTCTTCCTACATCTCAGCCTTGCAAGGACACAGGGGGAAGTGTGGAGAAGAAAATCAGAACCAAAAGTAGGCTTCCGTTGAGGGTACTACTGTTCTCCTCTTCAAGCTTCTTGCTGTGTCCCTGCAAGGCTGGAAGGTAGTAAGAAACTGGAATGGGGGAAACAGAAACAATTCCTTCTGTTCTTATCTGCCCAACCCAAACTTCTTACTGTACCTCAGCCTTGCAGGGACACCATAAGAAACATGGGGAACAGAAAACTGAGTGTATGTTGCCCACCCAAACTCCCTCCAAACTTCCCAGCAAAGCTGGGACACAGTGAATTTGGAGATTAGAAGGAACCAGCAGCATGGGGTTGGGAGATCAGAAGCCAACTTCCAGCTGATCCCTGATCAGAGCTTCTGTATATCTTCTTATCTCCTTAAATCATACATTTTTCAAGGGTTGTGGAACAGAACCCCACTCCCAGCTGGTCCCCTAATCCCCAATGGTCTGGAAGTGGGTCCAGAAAATGGCAATTTGTCTGAGATGTGCTGTGATTTAGAATTTTTGCCTGGGGGGAGAGGAACCCACTCCCTGTTGATGAGGGAGATCTGAGTCCTCCTGATCTCCTCCAGGAAATATTGCTGTATCCTAACAAGGCTGGAACAAAAAAAAATCTTTGAGAGCAGAAGCCATCCTCTCCATCTCCTCCTGACAATCTTTCTTGCAGGATGATCCCCATGATCAGCTGGGAGTGAGCTTCTGATCTTCCTACCAAAAAACCCCTTCACTGCTTCCTATACTGACATGCAAAACATGTAGCTATACCACTGAGCCAAAAATAAAAGAATAAACAGACTTACTACCTTCTAGAACATTGTTGCTGTCATTGAAGTATACAAATGCAAATGGCTGATAGATTATTTTAGTGTATCTGTAGGACTGGTAGCACTTTATGATTATTTTTATAAATGCTTTGTTTTTAGCTGTTTTAATTTTTATGTAAGCCACCCTGAGCCTGCCTTGGTCGGGAGGGGAGGGTATAAATCAAATAAATAAATAAATAAATATTTTTAAAACAAAATTGAAAAAGATTCGCAACCTAGACTGACACTCTAACCACTACACTACAATTGCTTGTATTTATTAATGCACACTTAGGTGACAAAAAAGCAGGGCTGCCAGGGGGTGCTGAGAATACAAATTCAAGGGACCCAAGTCAGCTTAAGGTCCTGTGAAACCAGAGTCACACTGCATTCTAATTTACTTTTTACTTTTAATTTTAATGCTGTTCTGCACTGTAGCCACTAGGTGCACAGGGAAGGTGGAGCACAATAAACAACAGTAGCTCTATCTGCTTTCACCTTTTACTACAAAAAGGCTTAAGCAAGCACTTGCCTGTCATGGGATACTGCTAAATCCATCAACCAAACTAGCACTGGAGAAAGGGGAAGACCATCAAGCAAAGCTAATGGCTGTTACATTAGCTGCCAGGGGAAAACAAGTCTAGCAGTCTGTTTGTTTCTTCCTTTCCTTATACTCAGTTCCATAGTTTGTCTGTTCATCCAAATCTTGCAAAGGAATAGCTCTGTTATTGTGTTCTAGCAAAATAAATACAACTTGTCCTTCTCTTCTCCTTAAATTCTCGTTCTCTTTTCTACACATTTATTTATTTATTATTTGTATTTATAGCCCGCCTATCCCACAAGCAGACTCAGGGCAGGTAACATCATGTCAATAATACAATAAATACAGTTAAAAATTTAAAACACAGTAATAGACATAAAAGCAAGGTCACAGTTCAAACAAAGTCAACTGGCTGTGAGAGGTTGCCTGGCATATTGATAGGCGGGTGACAACAACCTCAGGGAGGCCATACACAGACACCTGCTGCCTCAGCCAACAGCCTGGCAGAACAGCTCCATCTTGCAGACCTTGTGGAATTGAATAAGATTCCTCAGGGCCCTGATCTCAACAGGGAGCATGTTCTACCAGGCAGGGGCTAGGACAGAAAAAGCCCTGGCCCTGGTCGAGGCAGAATGGACGTCCTTCAGGCCAGGTACAACAGGCGATGTTAGTCCATAGAGCATAACGCTCTTTGGGGTGTGTATAGGAAGAGGCGGTCCCTCAGATATGTTGGTCCCAGGCCGTAAAAGGCTTTAAATGTTATTACCAACATCTTGAAGCGAATCCAGAATTTAACTGGCAACCAATGCAATTGGTGAAGCACCTGCCGAATGTGAGCCCACATAGGTAATTTTCTCCTCTTTCATTTTGCTTTCTTCCTTTCATAAACTGCCTGAATTTCTTTCTCATCCTACTTTCTAATTCCCCCCCTTTACTTTCAAGTATTGATGATAACTCCTTCTCATCCCTACACTGTTCAACAACTTAGAAAGTACTTAATAGTAGTAGTATAGCAACAAACCTATTTTAATGTTATGAACAGAAAGGGGGTCAAGATAGTATTTCCCCATGATCTATCAAATTTATTTTAATTTTATTAATTTTATTTGTTCAATTGATATCCCGCCCTCTCTGCCAAGGCAGGCTCAGGGCGGCTTACATACATACATACACACACACACACACACACAATTAAAATTATTCATAAAAGTGCCATAACAGTTAAATATTAGTTATCTTAAAGTACTGGAACATTATTCTAATAAAGTGCATGAACAGAAGTTTCAAAGTAGTAAAAGAATGCTTTCTGCCACTCAATCTCAGTACTTCTCATCCAGCACCAGTACATAACCCATTTCGCTCTTGCTTTTGTTTTAGAAAAATGTACAAAGGTAAACTGAAATAGATTTCTTACTAATTTAATTTCTGAAGATGTTTTGTAAAATTAAGTTTTTGTGAAAGAGAACCCACTTCCTCAGATGTAAGGAGTTTCCCATATTGGTAAACCTATGGATGCATGTAATACAAAATTACAAAATTAAACACATATTGAGAGGCACAGAGTGTGCTAATTCAGGAGTAGCTTGGCTGGAAAGAAGAAGGAAAGCTGCTCCTGCTTCTTTTACACAATTATGATGGCCTCTATAAATGCTAGCGGCTTGCCGTAGTAGTTTTTATACTGAATGAGCACTTCTGAATGAGCTGAATGAGCACTGAATGCCAAAGAGTTTTAACAATACTTGATGAAGTAAGAGCAATAGTAATCATCCTTTTTTTGATGAGCTGTAGATTTATAACAAATGTCATATCCCATCTCGCTTCCCAATGAGGACCCATACAGCTTCCATTGTTTCCTGTCCTCCATTTTATCCCCACAGTAACCCTGTCAGGTAGGTAGGGTTGAGAGTGTGCCATGCAGCAAACGTCCATGGCAGACTGGGGATTTATTACAGTCACATAGCATGTGGCTTAAAAGCTCTTGGTTATGTATTGCCTATTATGGAGATAACCTGGGCCAAGATATTCCCTTCATTTTTGGTACTGGAACTCCCATGATCATCCTTATGCTGGTGGCCAATTTTGAGACTCCTGGCTTCATTTTCTGATGAGTTATGCCTACCATAAATGGACAGAAAGATGTCAGACACAGGAATCCTTTATAATTATAGATGCATAGTATCAGCAAGCCAAGTGATTTTTTTCTGTGAGATATTTGTTTGAATCAGGGTCATGTGGAGGGGGCAGATGGAATCTTTGTGAAGGGTCCCATGGTGGCTCGCTTCAGCCCTGCATAAAAGACTTAGAAAGTACTATTAAAGTAAGCAGAAATCCAATATCAGCCAAGTGAAGTACAAAGAACAGAATGATAATTTTGGCCTGTTCTAAAGAAGGAAAACTATAGAGACTAATGGCTAAAATCAGCTGAAAGAAGCCTGAATATAAACTATTAAAGAAGAGTTTATATTCCCCTTGCCCAGCTTGCCCGGAGGTGTGGGCTTGGGTGTCATCAATATGCTGATGATACCCAGCTGTATCTGATGTTGGACGGCCAGTCAGACTCTGGTCCTGATGACCTTTCGCGGGCGTTGCAAGCTGTGGCTGGTTGGCTCAGACTGAGTCGGTTGAA